TATACAAAGACATTGGAATGCCCTGTGAATATAGATACTTTTCATCAATTATGTTGCTGGTCTATGTCATAGGTGGTCTACATCGTAAAACCTATGTTTCTGTAATCTTGAACCTAGATACCTGTATGAGCAACTCACTTCGCCCCTCCTCTTCTCTTTCATGGCTCCATCGTATACGTACCTGTCTCACTCTCCTGCCAGATCCTCGGTTTCTTTGAGGGCATTGCCTTACTCATCATTGAATTATCTACAACATCAGCAGAATGAATTGTAAATAATACAGGCCCATTGTATCTTAGATAAATTAATGAGTCATTCATGTTTGATTTCAATGGATGAAACTGAAATTTCTATTTTAAACATCCTTTTCTTTTTTCCTATAGGCATATTAATGTTACTAATATGGTATAGCCTGAATATTTGATGCAATATTATGTTCTATGTAGCAATGGGATGCTACCTTTCTCTAAATAAATTCCCTGTTTCGTACTGCCGTATTTGGCCAAAGAATATAGATGGTGTCAGTCTTCCATAGGATGGCAGTCCCATTTGTAGTCTGCCAGTGTCACCCCTGAAAGGTGTGCAATGCTCAGGCTGAAAACCCTGTTTATAGTGTAAGGGAAGCCTTTCCTCACAATTTATCCAATCTCACAAATCAAAAACCAAACAAGTCCCAACTGACCTAATCTGTGTTATGAGCATCGCAACCCATGTTGCATGCTATTGTTACAAGAAGACATTTCCCTCTCTCGCTCCATGTACTTGGAAGCTAGAATTGCAGGAATTTACCAGATTCTTAGAACACTAAAGGCAGGGACAATGGAAAAAAGAAGCAGTTCTGTTGAGTAGAATAACTAAGCCATATATAAAAAATGGCTTGGAGTATTCTCTCTAATAAGTGACATTAACCACAGAATGACCTTTCCTTTGGCAAAATGGCTAAATGGAAGACTTTACTACATACAAAATATACTATAGGTGAATAAACAAACACATTAGTGAACAAAATGCATTGAAATGTATAGCTATCTAAAGAAACATCTAGAGCTAGACCAAAAGATCACTGGCAAGTCGTGGTTCCTGTTAGCTTTCAAAGAGAACAGAAGTAGTAGAAAAATATTTTCAAGTTCTCCTGTGAGAAAATCAATGGAAAGATTTAGACTTCTAATTAGACAAAATAACTTGCCAGATGGCATAATTATTTTTATTAAGGAAGTATTATCATTTTATAGGCAAACAAGAGTGATTAATAAGAAATTCTTTTCTGGCCCCCTCATCACACTTTCAATAAATGAAAACTCTACCTTATGTCCTGCCATGGGCTATTATAGAGCTGGCTGGCAAGATGTTCTTATTGTTTCTCATCCTCTATGTGCTCCCAGGGTGTGTAAGGGTTGCCTTGATTTTGTGGGTCCAAGGGCTATGATGAAAAATTACCTTTTTTAGACTATAGCCATAAATGTATCCTTTCAGTTCTAAACAATTTACACCACCACTTACAAAATACCGTCATCCCTTTCTTCTCTTCCATCACTCTATTACATGTGCACTTCTCTCTCTCTCTCCTGCTAGATCCTGGTTCCTTTGAGCGTAATTCCTGAGTCACTAGTGAATTTTCCATCATTTTTACTATAATGCATTGTGCATAGTATGTGTCTATTAGATCCTTGATAAATACATGAATCATTCATGCTTGATTTTAAGGGATAATAAGAAAAATGAGACTCAAATTTCAATGTCGAATTCTATTTTAGAAAGTATCACCATGCACAAAAGGACAGCTAAGAACTCTAGCCCTTGTTTCTGGTAATCACCTAGGCCACTTTCACTTGACTTTCTAACCTTTTTCTCCTTGCACAGTATTCTCTAGCACTTCATACACCTTGCACCACAACTACTTTGGCTCTGACCATCTGTTTTTCTCCTTCAGTGCAATCTGGTATTTGACTCTGGTTTGTTGCACAGAGCTCATACTAAAGAAATCTCTTCCACTCCTTCTCTCTATCCACATTGAACTGTACCCATCGGTCAAACTTAAAAAAAAAAAGAAAAAAAGAAAAAAAAACCCTCAGAAACATGGAGACAAAAGAGGCTCACATACGTAATTGTGAATAAGACAGACAAGGCTGGTAGAAATGAGAAGAGCCAAATGAGATATCAAGTGGAGGGGGATGCTTAGGTCAATATCGGGAACCAGACTACATCGTGAAGAGCCTAGAAGTTTAGGGAAAGCAAAAGCAGGGTGATTTAATAAAAGCAGGTGGCCAGAAGGGAGATCTGGTGAATTCTAAAAACCATACTGCTGTTGTGCTGGACATGTGGAGTAGGCACGATTTTATACACCCAACATAGGATGGATATAAGCACCAATAAATCACCCACAAGCATTTGTGAAAATATTTTTTTCAGAAACACCAGATGTATTTTTTTTTTCCTAAGAACTGAAGAAAATGAGTTGGGGAATAATTATAGAAGCAGGAAACTACAAGAATAAAACCTGAATTTAAGATTCTTTGAAATATAACATCTTTTAAAATGCAAACAAAAAAAACTATTAAATTGTTTTAGTTTTCTGATACTACTTTTATTATTTTTTAGTTTCTTTTCAATTAAGTTATTGCAGTTAGGTATGTTCGAAAGTAGAACTGCTAGTTTAATCACAGAGTTTTATATTGGTCATATCCAAATTATCCAAGGCTTTTTTTAAAAAAGAGATAAATATGGCAAGAGAAAGGGCTATTGATTAAAATCCTGACTTTCATCTGCCTTTCAATTTCCTACAGTGTTCTTTTCAAACAGCTTAAAAACCATGAAAAGATGTTGATGTGCCTTGTTTCTAGGAAACACTAAACATATCCACCTGTGTTCCAGCTATCTCAGCTCATCACGCGTGGCCCTTAGTGAGAACATATTTGATGGTACTGCAAAGACATAAAATGCAATCCAGTCCTTTGTTTTCTACTAGTGCACAGGGTGACCTCTGGTTTAATATGTTGATCAAGTACCTTCATTTGCTTCCACTTGCTATTAAAATAAGAGAGATAACAACAGAATTAAACCTATAAGCCCTACTAGAAAAGAGAATGGGAGAAGAACCATTATTCAACATTAGATTTCAAAGCATTTCTGGAAGATGGAAAATGGATGAGAACCATGTAATTGCACAAAGAATAAAAACAACCCAAAATTAACATAGGAAAGGATGGCAGAAAAAAAAGGTAGCTAATTGTCCATGCAAAACCCTGAAGGCTTTTGGATTAAAGTTAGTAAGTATGGAGGGTAGGATCATGAAAGTGAACCAAAATCGGTGGATGGAGAGGAATAGAGGGTCTGACTGAAATTCAGTCTCTAGAACAAAGAACCAACCGCCTCCCCAACTCCTCTCCTCTCTCTCCCACATTCCTGGCTATAACAAGAGTACAAGAAATTGCACGTTGACCCAAGTCAAAAGATAACAAAGCAAAAAAACAATAATCACCATAATGAAAACAAATAAAGAAATGTAATGCATTCCTTAGGGAGAATTAGGACCACTAGCTGGGTGCTAGCACCACATAATCAATTCCTTCCCATTTTGGTGATCCCTTACCAAAGCCTGGCACCCCAGTGATTCAAGTGCCTACTTGGCCAAGTCAGCCTCTTTAATGAAGGAAAAATCTTGCAGGAAAAACAAGAGATATACAGCAGCAGAGAAAATCTAATCGGCTACCTGGATAAGTCAACTCAATATTTTCTATTTTAAATATGTACAAATAACTTACAATTACTCAGGCATATAAAGAAAATTAGCAACGTAAAATGGCAAAATAGACAAATGAAACAATCCCAGTGGAAATAGAAATAACTAATGGAAGAGAAGAAACTTGAAAAAAAATCTAGTTAGTATTCTCAGAGCGATTTGAAGGATAATGCCCCCCCGCCCGCAAAAAAAAAAAAAAGACAAGATAAAAGTCAAGGAACTCTACATAAACATAGAGCAAAAAGGACAAAGAAACAGAAGATACGAGATAATATATAAAAGGCATAGGAGAATAATCAAGAATACTTCAACAAACTTCAACAAACATGAGCTCTAGAAGGAGAAAAAAAGTGTAGAAATAAGCAAAATAAAACTCAGGAAAATTCTGCATATCTGAAAAAAAGACATAAATCTTTCTAAGGGTACCCTGATTCCACAAAAGGATGGGTGAAAAAAAAATACCTACTCCTAAATATAACATCAGAAAATTTCAAAACATAAAAAAAGAAAGAAAGAAAAAAAAACAGCCACCTCACACTTTGCCAGTTGCTGTGGCAAAGGACTGAGAGCTGTGTAGTTAAATGTCCAGGTCTGAGAATGACCCCTTACCTGCTGCTCAGTTTACTGTTCAAACTTAGACACTTGGCTTCATCAGCTACAAGGGATCCGAAGTTCAATAGTCCCATGTGCATAGAAGGCGGAGAGGAAGAAAAATTACTTGTGAACATCACTGTCTTGAAGCCATTGCTGCTACATTATCTTTATGAAAGTTTGCACATGGAGTTATTCTAGTACACTGAAGGTGAAAATAATTGAGATGTTAATTTTAAATGAAAGAAGTTAAAAGGGAGGAGAAGTTGAATAATAAACATTTTTGTATTTCTATTGTGGTAAAATATACACAACAAAATTTGTCATTTTAATAATTTTTAAGTGTACAGTTAGTTCAGTGGCATTAAGTACATTCGCATTGTTGTGTAACCATCACCACATTCATCCCCAGAACTTTTCATCTTCCTAAACTAAAACTCTATACCTACTAAACAACAACTCCTTACTGTTCCTGTTCCCCTCAGCAATCATCATTCTACTCTCTGTCTCTATGAAATGACTACTCTAGGTATCTCACAATAACTAGAATCATATAATAATTATTACTCTGTGTCTGGCTTATTTCACTTAGCATAAGGTCTTCAAAGCTCTTCCATGCTGTAGCATGTGCTAGGATTTCATTCCTTTTTAAGGATGAATACTATTCCGTAAAAATACCAATTACTTCACAAATTTGCACGTCATCCTTGATCAGGTGTCATGCTAATCTTTGCATCATTTCCATTTTAGTGTATGTGCTATTGAAACAAATACTAAATATTTAATCAACTAAAAAACTAAAATATTAACTAAAAGTTGAGTGGAGAAGGGAAAGTTGGGGTCATATATGTGAACTAAAATTTGATCTTCAATGGACAGAAAACGATAATGCCTATATTTCATAAATCAAGAAAAAGTCATATCGCCATCTTGCTTAGACCTATAGATGTAACCTCCAAAAAAAGCAAAAAATTCTAAAAGTAACAAGAACAGGAACTAGGTAGTTAATTGGAGAAGTAAAGTGAGGAAAAGGTGTTATTTTAAGGCATTATGTACAACTGTTCTTTCTTTAAATCTAATCATAAAATGTCACCAATCACAGTACTACTTAATGATCAGAAATGCAACCCAGACTCCTGACATTTAATAGTGTCTATTTTTCATTGCAATAGGGCGTCTCTCCCAAGACACTTTCTTGAAGACCATATTGCCATAGACATCAGTAAGTCACATGGAAGAGGCTTAGCAATAGCTTAACTCCACAGGCCCCCTTCTCCTTATTACCATGCTCGACAACTTATGCTACTGATATTATTCTATTATACATAATGCCATTTTGTTACTATAACTACTACTTTTACTCCTATTTTCCTCTTTTAATGGAGGTCTATCTGCTTCTTTTGGCACTGGTCTTGCTACTTGCCTGGAATATGTATGAGTTCTGTGAAAGCATACTAGCTTACTTCCCCCATGTACCCTTCAAATCCCTGCTCTTGTTCAGTACAATTTCCATAGCAGTATCAGAGTTTTCTTGAGCACTCCAAGCAAAGGCTTCAGCAGCCACTAAACTTTGTAATGGTCCCAACTCCCACTATAGCTGCGGAAATAATGCCTACGCATCCCCTGCTCTTGGATTTTCCTTAGCCACCCAAAGACAGTCACATTTCTTTGACTAATCTGAAAGCCTAAGCTCCTCTTAGTAACGTTACTTCTGCCCAAAGCTTACAGTGAATCCACAAGAATGAGACACCTATCGTGTGTTTTGCACCTGGGCAGCTGAGATGGGAGTGCATTTATCTAAAATTTCAGCAGATAAAGGGAGGTGTAACACCATGTCCTCAAATGATATAGGAAATCATTCAACCTAAGTTCTATATTCAGTTTTACAGAGAAAATGGTGATGTTTCAAATAAATAAAAAGAATCCTCCTAACCTGAAAATAGGGTCTTCTCAATTGTATTTTCTACTTAAAGTTTGTACTTTGATGTTCTTCTGATGCCAAGTATCATCTTTGCTATTAACTTTAGCAGATGCAGAAAATTGATTTGGAAAGTGATTAAGGTTGGTGATAGAATCCTCTATGGGCTGCATATATCAAACCACGCTTTTAGTATTATTTCTAGTTCAAGTTTCCATACATTAGGAAAGAAACTAGAAACTTCTAAAATAAAATCAACCATGATCATGTGATGACTGAAAGCCAAATTAATTAAGGAAGGCTTAAGGGAGCTGGGATACGCAACCTGGAACAAAAATGAGACAATGTATTTTGTTTGAATGTGTAAAATGAGGAGCTGGAAGCATTTTTGTGTCCAGTATGCAAAGTGCCTAAGGGCTTGAGTTCCGCAATCAAAGGGAACTGGGCACAAATTCTAACTCTCCATTTATTAGTTGTGCGACCCTCAGCAAGGTTACTCTAACACTCTAGGTCTCAATTCCTCCTTTTGTAAAATAGGACAAATAATAATGCCTATAACACAAGATTTTTATGACGATAAATAAGAACATAAACACATGCAAATTTTATTTTATACTAGTATATAGGAAAAAATTAAATTCATCATCATCATCATTACTTTTTTTTATCATATATTATTATAATTCCAAAGGAAAAAGCCAATACTAATGAATGAATCCTGAGATCAATAAAAGGGTGACTTTCTGAGCAAATGAAACAACTAATCATGGGACAAAGAGTTCAATGAAATAATGAGCTTCCAATGGCATCTCACAGGAATTCCGTAATTAAAAGGAGCTTCTGTATTAAGAAGGAGGTTATACCTGATGATCATTAAAGTCCCTCTTACTTTTCAGAGATAATGTAACGATTAAGTTCATGCAGCTCATTAGTGCCAGTAAGTTTGGGGGTGTCGTCGATGTGGTCCCAAACTGTTCCTTCTTTTAGTTAACACGGAGAGAGGGTGACTGGGAGTTTCCAGTTACTATTTCTGCACAGCACTGTCAAGTGAAGTTGTTTCTTGTACCTCACGAACCAGCAGCCCCCTCTCTCTTCTGTTTCCATCATGAAAGCCTTAGGAGGCAAGACCGCCTGTTCTTCCCTTCCAGTGCCCCAAGAAAATGACAAAATGGCATTCTTTCCTACTCTCTGTCAGATGATTTCTATTAACAGCTCTGGAAAAAATGCTGCAAAGATGTGAGTGAAATGATGGCAGGATTTGTTGACAAGAAGGCAAAATGAGGGAATTCAGAAAAAAATCACCCACATTAGAGACTGAGGGATCTCTGGGTTCCATCTGCTTCTCTCTCCCCTGGCCTGGGGTAGTCTCAGAATCATCTCAGGAGATCATCGGTCTCCTTTTAAATGACTCAAATCAATGGAGCTTCTAATAGAGTCTAACAGATCTCACTTATTAGCAGACTTTTTTTTTTTTTTTTGATGTTCAGTCTAAAATTTTCCTTTCATTAATTTAAACTATTTCTCTTCATTAGATGATGGCAGTCATTTTGAAACAAAAGAAAACATGCAAATTTGAAAAGAGTCACTGTGGAAACTTCTGCTTAAAAAATCTTATTTTTGAAGCAAAACAGCACATAATCACTGTTCCGACATCCTCTGGAGGAGTGAGTTTTCCCAAACAGGAAGGACAACCCGAGAGCCCACCCTTGCCCTGATGTGCACATTCCTACCCATGAAGCTGTGATTAGAAGGATCCAAAAAAGGTTACCTGCCCACTGCATTAGGCCAGTGTGCCTGACATCATCTGCTAAGACTCTAGACGTCACTTCAGAAATATTCCTAGGATATTTCTTAAAGTTGTTATATGAACTGTGAGAGGAAAATGGAAAAAAAAAATCACTCTGAGAGGAATGGTCAATATAATGTGAGATGAACAAGGGCATTGGGGTCAATGACTTGTGGGTCCTGGCTGTGCCACTAGCATTGTCTTAGATCATTTACTCATCTCTCAAAACCTCAATCTTTGTCCTATAAATGGTCACAGTAATTCACATTTCACAGAATAGTTCCAAGGAAATTTTTATGAAGCTCCACACGTGGTGTAAGGCAGAAAAGTCTGACACTCAATAAATATTATAAATAATCATTCTCTCTTTGATGTAAATAAGATTATTAAAGATATAGGTGTGAGATTTGGGAAAGATTTATTGAAAATGTTTCAAGATGACTGAAAACAGACAATAACAAACAAAATGCAATTGTTTGTGAATTTACATGAAACTGAGGGAAGGGAGCTCATTTAAGAGCAAAGTGATTTGGGGGTAAGTGCGTCCCAGAAAGTCTCCACCTTGGTATTCAGTGACAAGAGGATAAAGAAGGTGGCTTCCAGGCAAGGAAACACCTGGAGCAATGAGCAAATGATCGGATTTAAACAATGATGAGTACTGGAGAATGAGAAAACAGAAAGTTGGCATAGGTGGGAGAGTGTCAGGATAGGGAGAATGTAAGAGGCTAGGTAGGCATCATCCTAAATTGAGTTATCCCCTTTGAAAATGCTCATAACTTCTATAATTAAGCTGCTGGTGTATATCCCAAAGAATATCACAAGCGTATTACTCTGTGTCATGGGCATAGTAAGGCAGTACGCATAATATAAAAACTCCTTACTTGCAATCAGGAAATCTGAGTTAAGTAAAAATCTGTTTCCTTTAAATGCGATCATCTCTCACAGAACTGCATGCATGAGAAGCTCATAAAACGAAGCTTGCAAAACCCTCTGACATAGTGAACAGTAAGTGACCATGTTGACTGTAGCAGGTATGTGGGAACAGAGTGTGATGGTGGAAGTGACTGTAGAATCAACCTGCGAAATTTGGGATGTGGTCTCAGCACACAAAGCAGGCTCTTAGTGTATTTTAGTAGAATCTGGAATTCAATAAAATAACAGAGAACGAAGTACCGGAAACACACATTCTATAGGTGTTGCATGGTACTACAGCAGTCACTGAGAATTTTTATTAAATGCTATTTGAATGGAAAGGGTTGTAATTGCCTTTTCCCACCACCCTCCTAGTGCTTGTACTTTCTGATAGTAATCTAGCCACTTCATCGCTGACCTAAACAGAGCTCTCTTTTCCCATCACATTTTCCTTCCCTCCATTCACTAAACAGTTCCTAATCTGTGAAAATGATTGGTTGGGCTTGTTAATTCACCTCATAAGTGTTTTTGTTGAAGATAAGACCCCAAGATCTGCTGTAAAACAAAGACTATCCTTATGTTTTATGTAATAAAACCACTGATCACCAATAGAGAGCAAGCCATGTTTATCTGGAGCCCTGTCTCTAAGGATTTATTCATAGCAATAATACTCACCTATAGGAAAATAGCAGCTTCTCTGCATTGCAGACTCTGGCCAGTAATGCCCCGTGCAAATGAATTTAGAGATTTTCTCAGCTTGTGTTCCTATACTACAAAAGGGAAACAGCCCAAATTGCACCTACTTGGGCCTGAATTATTGACTTCAGCTTTGAAGTGCAAATGAACTGAATGAAAACATACTTAGATTGCAACACAAAACCTATTCCTACTAGCTGATTGATGGTGCATTAACTGTCTTGTAAGGAAAGCCTTGTATTGCTATGGATTTGTAGTCCCTTGGTCCAATTATCCCACAGGTAAAGGCAAACTCTATCCACCATATGAACCAGTCAATAGTGGTCATTTCTTACACTTCTTTACTTTCTCTATTTTTCTAACAATTCGGGTTACTGGGTTGCCCATAAAACAGTTATTTTGTGGTTGACCAGCCCCGCTGCTTCTAAAGCTAGACTTATGGTCTTGAGCTAGGAAAACAAA